GGGTCCAAAGTGGTCTCCACTGAACAAGCGCGCGGTAGGGGACGCAAGCTGGGTTCGTGCCGAAGGAGATGTTGGTGAAGAAAAGAAGATAATGAGTAGTAAACAAGAGTATCTTCTTTGGTCCAAGTTGTTGTTGTCGTCGAAGATCGAAGCTGAAACGGCTTTGCGGGGATAGGATGTGGAAGGGAATCGTAGGTTGCAAGGTTCGAGAATAGGTTAAAAGCTTGGGTATTGTGGGATGTTGAGTCGAGGAGGTCGGGCTGTCAGAGAAGAAAGATACGATGATCTCAGGAGAGTTTTTTCAAGTTTGGAGGCGGGGATCGAGTCAAAATGTTATGATTTGCGTTGACTGTTGACGTGCGGTTCGTTATGCTGAAAGTGGGTAGGAGTGATGACATTCAAGTGGAAGTTCAAGGAAGGTGCAGGTGCAGGTGGTCAAGGTTGTTCTTTCCTCAGATGCGAACCGTGGACTACCTACGTGAACTACGCGGGCAGGCGGCATCCCCGTTGTTTATATCGTCCAGTCCTATTGCACTCCCTCACCAACAAAACCGTGGCCGGTGAGGTCAGTCTGTCAATCACTTTACTCCCATGTTGCATGTCTTGGTGCATAGTAAGGGGATTGATTAGTAGACAGTCATTGACACCAGTGACCGAATTGATCACCGGCGTAGCATCTCAAAGGGGCCGCCCCCCGCCAGGTGTACCCGGCCGGTCGGTCATATCCGTCACACGGGCTTGAAGAGGTACTCAGTCGCGCCTTTCCCAACCGGGAAAAGACATCCAGGGTTTAACGACATTTAGCACGTCGTAATCGCTGTCCCAAAACCGCGATCCCCATCACATCGCAATATGGCAGCTGTCCGGCAATTGTCTGTGACTTTTTTTTTCTGATGTTGTTTATGATGGTTCCTTCTTAGCTGTCGCCCGTGTGTGAATCTTCATCCACTAAGCTCTGACAATTCTTATGGGTGCCGACTCATGACATGCCCCAGCCTCTGCACTACAAGGTGCAAGAAGAAAAAAAGCTTTCTTGTTACGGATACTAGCCCCAGTCAACTGCCACGATTGGCGTTAGGGACTCACTACTCGTGCAACGCCAAAAACCTGTCCAAACGGAGCATTGATGAAGAGTCAAGACTGAAGACGCAAGAGTCCCAGGAGGTGGTTGTTTTTGAGGTAACCCAAAGATCCCCCCCTCACCGTCTCCATACTTCATACACCGCAACCGAGAGTATCCGGGTCAATCGTCACTGTCACCTCGTTTCCCATATCTATTAGCGTTCCGACGATCCAGCGATGCCAATCAAACCCCACGGTTGGGCCTCACCCGATGTCTCGGTGTCTCATTGCCGGCTCCCTTACTGGCCTCTAGGGAGACGACTGACTATTCTCACATCAACTAATTACTGCAAAGCAACATCGCGAGGCCAGCTAACAAGACAGGCTCCTCGTGGCTTATTGCTGACGGCACACGGCACACGGCAGACAATAGCCAGCAATACTAACTAAACACTGACAAGTCGTCGACTTGCCCCAAGCCTCAACCGTCCACGTTTGTCCTAGCTCTTGGCGGCTTGGCAAGCGGCGCAAGCCTACCCCGGTTCAGCCCAACGCGCAGCGTCGCAGAGGGGACCACACTCTAAATCCAACTATGCTTAGAACTCTCATTTACCGCTCCCCTTGCCCACAGAGCTGTATCGGTACTAGACCGCAACTTCTTGATGAGGAGCCCCCTAGTGTGTAAGTGTAGAGATCGGGCTCTTCTTATTTGAGGCCTTATTCGTACACTACTATCCGGAAGGCCTGTTGGCCCGCGGGTGCCATGGAAGAATACCTACCTAACCGTGAAGACCCTTTCTTCACGGACCACCATTGCCGGTCTCCACTCAAATGGCACCCTTCTGCGCCTTCTTCCCTCAGCTGGAAAGGGGACCAGCAGTGCCCACTGCCGGTTTTCCCTCAATCGCTGAAATCATTCGTAAGCATCCCTGCCCCTCCTGCGCCTACTGTACGCTAGACCTCATTAGGACAGATTCGCTCACTGTTCAGGACCGGAAGAAAAATGCGGCGATTGCGGCGGCGCGGAGGTGGAGACTTCTCCCACCGGAAGGACCCTGACGACCTGAACAAAAAACTGAGGTGCCGTCGGTGGGGCAAGACGCCTTGCCCGTGATTGGCCACAGCGTAAACCATCCCCCCCGCGCGCCACAGCTCAAGTGGAGATTCCGAAGCTGCGTCGTGATTCGCTCCCAGCTGTGGCTGGGACCATTCCGCATTACGCGGCCTCCGATCTGTGCTTTCTTGAGAAGTTCAAGTTCAAGTTTCTTGTTCTTTCCATCCAAGTTTTTTCTGCCACCAACCAAAGGGCTATCTATCAAATGGTTCATCAAGGAAAGCCACAGCGCCTCGGCGTTCCGTCACTGGAGTACCTTCCAAGCCTCTCCCAGGCGCCGAACAGCCGAGCCGAACACCGTCGTGACCGTCTACCTACTCCATTCTCCACCACGCCGCCACTCCATTCATGAATCTTCCAGCAGCCACAGCAGGTCCCACCCCGTGGTCATTGGGCTCCACAACGCACACGAATCCCGTCGCCGCCGCCGTCACTAATGTCATCACGCCGCTGCGAATCCCGCTGCCCTCGTCTTGAATGTTTGATCGCTACCATTTCCGTGTGCTGAATGCTACAGCAAAAACCTGGGGAAAGGGCGAATTTTTCTCAGGATATCTGGCATATTGATCCGCTAAATGGCATGTTCCTGTAGTGGTACAGTTCATGGCGGCGAAAACGTGAAGAGAACTCGCAGATCACTGCCTAATCCCTCCAACTAACCTTCCACGAACCCAAACCTCAGTGACGGGCTCAACTGGAACGTTGACGTCTCTCGCTCCGTTCCCATCACCCTCAGTGACTCCCATCTGCGCATGTCTCTCGGACAGGCATGGTCTGGCATTCCCTACGCCACAGCCATCCCATTCAACGACTACGTTCCTGAGATTTCCACTTTGTTAAACACGATAAGCTACTGAGACAGATATCAAATAACCTCAGGTAGCGTTCCTCCAGCAAGAGTTGAATTGGAGCTGAGGCCAACGCGGTCTAGATCATGTTTGGATATCTAGGTTGATTACGGATATTTCGTGAAATGATGCAGTTCGGATGGCTTTACTCCCGTCAGCCATTCATCTCGAGTACTAACGTGTTCCACCAGTCGGCAACATCAGCCACAAAAAAGGGCGTTCATTCTGCCTGAGTGTCTACGCACTCACACATGACTGTTCATGACTGCACGGAGTAGATTGCAGGGAAACAAAGTCCCTTACCATCTTTCCCAGCCTAACCGCCTAGCACCTAGCGTTCCAGCTTAGCTTTTAAACGCACTTGTGAGGAACCTGCGGCTGCGATTTGAAATGCCTGCTGTGCTACTGCCTCGAGCTTGGATCAGCCTTTTCCCCGGCTTCGCCATGTACCGAGATGGCCCGCTAGGCAAGTCTAGACTATGCTTCGAACTGGGGACATCAAAGAACACATGAACAAACGTTTGCCTAGGTACTCATCTCGAGAAAATACTACATCCAAATAAATTTCCTCCTCAAATATCTTGGTTCTTAATGTCAAGCAACCTCCTTAATATTACCTCGGCAACTAACGGATGTTCTTTTCTCACGGCCACCCTGTAAGCATTTTCACCATTCTCGTTGCTCAAGCCCAACACATAGACAATGTCATCGCTCCCGCATGATTTGAGAAGTGTTTCTACCATTGACGTCAACCCAATCCTTGCCGCGATGTGTAAAGCGCATTGGCCATCTTTGTTGCGTTGATCAGATAAGAGCCGGTGATCAACCCCTGGGTGGTTGAGAAGTAGTTTAGTAATCGCCTTGTTGTCGTGGCCGACTGACAGATTCAAAGGCGACTTGTAGTTTCTCGCGGCGCACTGGTCCACTCTGGCGCCCAAATGCAGTAATTTGGTAACCGTACTCAACGCCCCTGGTCCAATAGCTTGAATCAAAGGCGTCGAGTTGATCCGGCCGCCTATAAAGTTGACATCGCTTTTCAATTGCTGAACAAGATACTGGACGGTCTGGACCCTATTGTGCTCAGCAGCCTGAAGTAACGCACAGCCAAGCATGCTTTCTTTCTTCCCAAGGGCCGCTGTAGTGCCAAAACAGGACCGGCATCCTTGATGCACCATTAGAAGCTGAACGCACCCCTCAGCGGCTAGCAAACATACGAGTCGCATTTCCTTGTTTATGGATGGACCGGCACGAGATTTCCCAGTTCTACTGCGTCGGAACATGTTCTCTCGAGATGATTTGACGATGTCCCCGGTAGACGCGTTGCATGCCTTGGGAAAATCTGGAAAGACGAGTTGATTCACATCCAAGAGCTCGCCACTGAGACGGGAATGTTCCATCCAAAAGGACAGAACGTATTGGTCCAGGTACAATTCTGGTCGGGCCAGGGTAACGCGATCCAGGTATCTGGCGCAAAGCTCGAACACGCGATGATGGCAGATTCTTTCGTTGGATGCCGGGTCATTAGCAGCCGGGTCGAAATGCTGCAGCCCGCACTCGTCTACCAAAAGGCGATGGACCGATACGTGCGCGAACTGCACGATACGTGACCCAGGTGTGTCAGTAGGTTCGGACCGGACGACTTCGACGAGGCCCCTCGACCAAGTTCGAAGTAATGCGGCAAAGTCAAGGGATTTGAAATGTTCCAGGTTTGCTTGCCATGTATCTGGATTAAGGATGATCGAAACGGCTTCCATCACTTCCTCCAGTGAAAGAGCCTCCCTGGTGAAAGCTATGAGTTGGAAGAGGAAATAGCTTTCTTCCCGCATATTGTCGTCGTTTCTGGCAAGCCTTTGGAGGATCTCGTTGTACAATTTCTTCAATTCGTCTGGAATATTCTGAATTCTTTTGAGAATGTTCTCTGTGGTCGCAAAGTCTATGGCAGGCCAATTGTCTAGATCCCAGACAACTAACACAAGCTACATGAAGTTATGATTGGCTTTTTTACGGAGGTTCTCAATAAGAATATTGCGACGTGAAACGTTCATGTCGCGATTTCCTATCGTCTTTTGAAGGTACTGGCCGACATCCTCGCTATTGTAATCTTCCATCTCGATCAAAGATCCTTTCGAAGTCGGAGAGAAACGAGGGCGGGTCGACGAACAGATTTTGAGGGGCATGCCTTCCTGAACGACATCTTCGAAGAATTCGAACCCTGAGGAATATTTGCGGTCGTTCTCATCCCATTCGTCGGGAGCATCGAGGAAAATAAAGATCTTCCGCACGGCAGCACTACCCCGTTGTGGGGAGGTGACTTCCTCCAACACCTTCTTCAAGTCGTTTTGCAGGCCAAATTGAGTCCATGAGTGGCCTGGAATCTTCCATGTCCCATGGAAATCCTTAAGAAGGCGTACAGGAAGAGTTTTGGACCGAGCAATCGCACAGTATAAAAGTGTCCGATACATGCCTACACCTGAGATGCAATACTGTTGTCTGTCACGAGACTTCGCGTCGAAGAAGAAGTTCAGAGTCAGTCGATTGTCGGATTTGCTTTCAAGGTGCTCGGAATACTGAACGGCTTTATTCATTAAGACTGATTTCCCTGAGCCAAGATTTCCTTCGATTGACAGGAAGGCGTAGTCCTTGCCGTGGGCTTCCCAATCTATGAACTGAGTGGTCTGGAAAAGCCAACAATCTAAGAGGTTATGCTGATCATTGAAAAAAAATACTTCACCATAGCGTCTTTTTAGTTCTGGGAATCCTGCAACCAAGAGGGTCAAACAATCTGCGGCAGATTAGACGTCCAGTCACGATGAGAAGGCACGCAATTGTGACTGACCGCACTGGAGCTGCTCCTGTTCTCCTATCAGTTGCTGCCGTGCCATTCGATTTTGCACTACCTGATATCAGCAGGTCGCTTCTACGTCTAAGCCTCACCATCTACGTACGGTCGCGACTTTCTTCTCTAGTCCTTGGTTCTCCCGATGGAGGACGCAACTCTCTGAGGTCGGCGATCGCTTGATTCGCTTCCTGATCCAACCTCATTCTTACCGCGACAGCAGCAGCACATAGGCTTGCCATACCATACTCAACCATCCTGTAAGCAGTCTCCCTTTCGTTGGAAAACTTGCATAGCCCCGAATGATCCTTGCCAGCGAGAGAGATGGGTGTTTCTTGAATGCTTGGAAGACCCAGCACGGCCGACTTTTTGTCAACGACCTGAGAAAGGTGGGATTAGCTAATGTTGATACTTGGAATGAGAGGCATACATACTAGCCCCCTCATGTTCTCTGGTGGAATCGTCTCGTAATAGCTCAACACATAGAACCTTTCTAGGCCATGTCTGAAGTCATCTCTTACGACGTCGGCAAAAAGAGAGTTCCCTCTCAGCGCCTCCATGAAGCTTGGTCGGGGGTTGCCCAGAACTACACCAAAAATGTCGGCAACAGCATAAGCCAGTGAAGCGAGATTACTGCCGTTGTGAGGTGTCCCAAAGAATGTCATGCCGTACGTCGCGTTACGGATTGCCTCGTATCTTGTGTTCTGGTTCGCTTCCGTCATGGCCTGGAGCTAATTCACCGTCAGCGTTCCGCCACGGATTATCATACCATAAGATATTAACTTGCTCTTTTCACAACTATTCCTCCAAGGCTGTGGCACACAAACACGAGTGGCCGATCCGGTTCGTCCTAACTGATATTAGCAAAGTCACGACTTCCTGTTTCATCTTAGGAATAGTTTATCGAATACATCACGTTCCATGGCCAAGAGCTCCAGCAGATTGATGGCCCATTCTTGTATACCCTCACGCGACTTTCGAAAGGCAGGGACAGCATCGTACCCGTACACCATGATGCGGGCTTGGGGCATCTTTACAGGGAGGAAGTCCTTCAACCACATCTTATCACCACTGGTCCATGCCTCGGAGCTGTAATCCTTCGCACCCAAAAGATTTCAGTCCGTGAACAGCGACGATACTGAGTTGTGAAAGCATTATGTTAGCTGATGGTTTGTAAGGCGGAGTAGGCACAGTATACTCGACATCTGGCCTGAGGGAGGCCTTGGGGTTTGCAATGACTTCCAAAGAGTTCCATCTCTGCCGTCAGAAATATTTGCTTGCTGCGATTCCCTGCAGGTGTACTAATGGGGGAACTCATAATCTCAAGGCAGATTCGAGTAGGCTTTCGTTGAATGGATGTGGCTTCGATATTGCAGTGCCCATGGAGGGCTGTCTAAGTTGGTTGCTTTTGCCAGAGTCAGTCGCAAGTCTTAATGCTTGGTTGCCACCACCTAAGAAAGAGCCGAGTACAGGAGCATTCCATTGTAGGAGTGAGGAGTAAGGCTGGGCTACCATGTAATGAGCCAGTGTCAAACGCAGGTTAGTCGCAAGGGCGTATTTGGTCTTTCTTTTCATACCCACCATTGGAGATGACTCAAGCAGAGCAAAACTTGATTGGTGGTTAGCTAGACCTATCATACCTACCTTGGCCAGCTTACTTTCCTGCAGAGAAAACATCCAAACGCGTTCATTCGTAGGGGACCGGGAACATGTGTCAGAAACAATGCACGTTAGACTGTGGCTGTGACCGTCTTCGGAGACAATGACGACCCATGTTGACTATTTGAGGAGGCTTCGGCGCCTCGCAAGTAGTTTGGAAGGATTGCTGTGATATATTTATGGTTGAAACGAAATATCATAATGCATGAGCTCTGCGCTCAACATACGTAGCTTGTTTCATCGCTATCCCGGAATTAATCGTAACTGTGACTTGACTGTCGACAAATTGGAAACTAGGAGAGATAGGTATTTGCCAGTGTGATGAAAGAAACCTATCTCGTAAGTACCCAGTCAGGCTCCTGCCGCCTTCAAGGTGGTATGATATGCTGCCAAGCACAATATTGCTGTATCTGCAGGCGCCTTCACCTGGCTTTAGAGGCAGGTGACATTGTGCCGATGCACGACCAATCATGATTTATGGGGAGACCTCTCAAATGCACGTTGAGAAGATGCCTCAGAGAAGATGCGAACTTGGTCAGCACGGCGGTAGAAACTTGGCGGAAAATCTCTTTATGTATTTGTTGTGTTGGTAATCGACTCAGAAAGCTACAAAACCCGTTAGAATTCGAAGGCGTTGGGACAGCGCTCGTGTGGTTCGCCACTGCCCAGAGACAAGGTATACAATGAAATCATTATGTTGATATCGACAGCCTGCGAGCGGCATACGTGAAAATGACTATCTATGGATGAATTTACAAGAGTGAGAAGATATAGAGGCTATTGACAATCTGAAAAGAGAAGAAACACAATGGCAGACAAGAGGGGGAACGTAGAACAAGTAGACCATACCCGGATGGAAACTATGAGCAGATCCGAAAGTCCATGGACCATCCCTCCTGCTCAGCCTTATAGAGCAATTGTCATTCTGTGCCTAGCTTGTGCTCGTGTGCTAGGTCTGTATCCCATTCCTCTTCATCTCCTAGTTCGTGAGTTTCCATTGTCTTGTGCCCTTCCAGTTGTGTAAACCTCGTTCCCTGGGCCAGTGAGATTAACTGTGTGAGCGTTTTGGATAATAATTTGCTGTTGACCAGACTGTGGAAAAGGGCCATTTCCCTGTCCGGCACTCTGAGGGACGATTCGGGAGCTAGCAAAACTGCCATACATCCCGACGTTTTGGGGAACAGGTCGTTGCTCGGGGGGTCGAGCAGGTGTCACGCTTGCGTGAGAGTTTATGCGAGACGGAGCAAGCATACCGGCACCGTTCGGAGTAGCTTGCTGGCCAGAAGGTGTAGGTACCCCCGCGGGGGGCCTAGGCGGAGCAAAATGATTAGGAGACGGAGTAAAAGGCTGAGCAGGCCTGCTGGCCGAGTAGGAAGCAGCTCTCCGTCTAGGAGCCGGACCAGCCATTCCGGCAGCTTGCGGGGCAGCTAGCTGATTGAAAGGCGGGCGAACCGGGGCCGCCATTGTAGCACCCCGGGATGGAGCTGGTATATTGTAAGGCGGACGGGGCGGGAGCGGATTGAAAGACGGAGCAGCTCGCCGGCTAGGAGCCAGGCCAGCCATTCCGACAGCTTGCGGGGCAGCTTGCGGGGCAGCTGGCTGATTGAAAGGCGGGCGAACCGGGGCCGCCATTGTAGTAACCCGGGATGGAGCTGGTGCATTGTAAGGCGGACGGGGCGGAGGCGCAGGAGGCGGGTGCTGATTGAAAGACAGAGCACGCGTCTCGGCCGCGCTGATGAGAGCAAAAATAGTTGATGGATACATTTTGTCAAGAAGATCCGATTTGAATATTTGCAGTGAGAGGCTGTACGTGTGAGAAGTTGTGATTAGTCTCTTTGCCTTGGTGGTGTGGATTGATCGTAGCTTACGAGTCTCCGCTCGTAATGACATTACAGCGCTTGAATGACTTCAGTGCAATATTGCAGTTCAAATCCAGCGCGGCGAGAGACACCGTTACACGATTCGCATGCGTGAGTGTTGCATCCCTGAACAGAGTGTTCGCTCCAGAGGCCCAGCAGTTCTGTGCCGTGTGCTGGTCCAAGTCTAATTTCAGTCTGGTGATATTTTCGGTGCAAATGCCGGCGTGGATGTCAATGCTAGATCTGACTTCGGGGCTCGTCATGACCCCCTTGGCGAATGTGTTTGCGCGGTTGACGACTGCTTGGAACTCTCTCAGCTTCGACTTTATAGGCTCGATCTTGGAGTGGGTGGTGAAACAATTTCCCACGAAGGAGTTCAGGTCGACCAGGGCACAGCTGCCAAGGTTTATGAGTTCCGCGACATTGTCGCTGGTAAATAGCTGGGCAGCCATTAGACAGCAACAGGACCCGGAAGACTTTCTTTATAAATTCATGAGTAGAATCGAAGTAGGTTGTGGACCACATGAGAGAATTCCATGAGATATATGGAAAGACTTTGAGGCGAGGTTGGAAGTGCTCGAGAAGAGCGGGCGGTATTCTTACTTATCCTGACTGTCTTGGGACAAAAGGATCAGTGGGCGATACGGACTCTAGAATCAGGCCCGGGAGGAACTTCACGAAGCAGAGATGTCTTCAACAAGGGACGCGGCCTGTTGAGGGCAACCGCGCCGCAAGGCGTCCCAGCCACGTGCCTCAAGAACCGGGGTCTCGAAAGGTTTCACTGCATGCTACCGGCATCCCCATCGAGCGTGAGTGGACGCCAGTATGTCGCTCTGCGGGGCAGGCAGTACAAAAAGATGCTATGCGAAGTGATTTCAACCTGTGGATAGCGAATGGTATAGTCATCCGACGTGGTTTTCGTGGTTTCTGCGAATCAAATGTTTGGAAAAGGCGTCGAATTGGAAAAGAGCTGGCAATCTATGTATTGAGATTGGCTTGTGCGCTGTGGGACACGACATCGATGTGTCCGGCCTGCCCCGGTGGTGTGTATGGCATTTTATTATAACGGGAAGTGAGGTTACCACATGACCATAGCCGGCTCTGTCCGACACCTGAAAGAGGCAACATAAGAGATCGAGTCCACGCCTGGAAGACCTCAGTTCAAAGCTCCTCAGACTCGGTCGGGGCTTACTCACCAGCCTAATCTGGCATGTAAAGGGAGATACAGTGGGAAGGAAAGAGAACATTAGGCGCAAAACTGCTTGAAAAGAGGGAACGAGCAAAGAACGAAGGTTGGTGACGAAAGGTGAGTTTGATTGGAGTGGCACGGCACGACCATCAGCTGATGCGCATGCTAGGTCTCTGCTGTCTTGCTACCCAACAATCAATGTACGGTACTTTCATCTGACGCAGGTAAGTAGACAAGGCTGAGAGGAACCAAGAGTCCGACGGTAGATGAGCGGAACATATACACCAGAGAGCAGAGTGCCTATGTAACCTGTGCTTCTATTGCCTGTTGATCGGCGGGCCGAGTGGTTCCGCCTGGGGACAGTAAGATACAAGGCATTTTGCGGGGTTGATGCTCACCGGAGCGTCGTAGTATTAGATAACAACTAGGAGGACGTTTGAACCATTTAGTGGTTCTGGATGCGCAAAAAGATTGCTACTCGTTACCCACCAGACTGGATTGAAGAGACATATGAGAGACATAGCACAAGTGGCAGCATAATGTTGGTTGAAGTAGTTCATTAGGTACTAGGTATAGTATCAAGTATACAGGAAAAAGTCATGCCTTGCCGATGCAGGCGTGGTATCATATCTGAGCGTATTCGTCCAACCCGTCAACATTTAAATTCCCAGATAACCTTCCATTTTACGCCTGCGCTAGATTCATGGGCGCCATTTTCGTAAACGCATCATGCTAAGAAAACATGGGGTAGTCTCAAAGAAAAGAGACAGCTGCATATCCGCGATCCGACTCGTCGGTTTGACGAATCTAGTAGCGGCTGCTGCGCTGCCAGAAGCGACGCTTGCGGTAGGTGGTGTGGGTGGCAGGGGGAGAGTAGTTGTCAACCTTGGAACGCTGCTGGCGGCGCTTGTGAAGACGGCCGCTGCAGCAGGTGAAGAAGACAATGACGGTGTCGAGGAGCAGACAGATGGCGGCGGCGAGAAGAGTCCAGAGGGCAACATCGTAGTGGGCAGAGCTGCCGTTGCCGTCCCTGTTCACATTGCGGCGGACGACGGCGAACATAACCCAGTCGCAGATGAGGGCGACGATGGTGATGATGAAGGCGACGCCGGAGACGAGAGCGGCGAAGAGGGAGCCGAACATGCCGGCGCCGACGGAGAGGATGAAGGCGATGAAGGAGACGCCTGCCGCGACGGGGTGGAGAACCATGACCCGGGTCAGGCCCTCGGCGACGTTGGAAGACAGGTTGGAGTACTGGGTGGCATCGGCCTCGGCGATGATATCGGTAGGCGAGTAGCCGATCTTGGAGCGACTGCATTGGTCGGAGCCACTAGGATGCGTGTTAGTCGTTGAGTTGAAGTATCTGATGTGTGAAATGACTTACTAGTCAGAGCCGCCACGGACGCAGTATCCGAAGGTACCAAATGTGATCTCATTGCCGGCGGAAGTGTCGCCCAACTTGACAGTCAAGAGGGAGATGTTGTGCACCACTGGAGCAGAGATGCTGGTGATGACCAAAAGGATCGTTGCTACAAGTAGCAAAAAGGTACCAAAGTGGTGAATGAAACCGGTGACAGCCATGTTGATGGTGGAGATAGACTACTGCCGGGTGGCTAAAGAGTAGTGGTGTTTGGTGTAGGGCTTAGTTGTAAGAGACGATTGGCGATGGAATACTGATGTGATGAACATGTTCGTCAAATGGAGGGGAGAGGCCGTCCGCATATAAGCACAAACGTCTCACGACCCCTGGACCGGTCCGAAGAAACAAGAATTTGCATGATGTGTGCTGTGTTCTGTGACACTACCACACTAGGCACACCGTCCGGGGCCAAGAATGCCGTGTAAGTCAGGGTCCCGGTGCAAGCCAACGAGTGCGACGTCATCAACGTGGCCCAGCCCGGGCCCAAGTTCTGACTTCTCGTGGCTCTTTGTGAAAAATTGGGTGAAAATGGAACCTGGCTTGCGCAAGCATCCCCCGCGCCACGGTTGGTCGGCTCATCTAGTCGCGTCCAGATTTGTTTAATTGTCGAACAAGCTGGCGGTGGAAAAGGAACGTGGGTTTGGCTCTATTGTGACGTACTGTCCAGTTTGCGCCGCTGATTGGCCAGGTCCTCGCGTCGCGGCCGATCTGGGATATTGCAGGTTGCCACTATTCCTTGTTTTTGTGGCTCTGTAATGACGCCACGCCTTGAATGGACCCCGGCACGAAAATCCAACTCCAACGTCAGAGTCTCGACCTTGTGTTCAGCTGACTACTGCCGTATTGCCGACTCAGGTGTTCCTCTGGCAAGAAAACACTTGCAGCTCGTCGTCAGGGAGCCCGACTGCGTTGCACTGCTAGCGAGGGTCGTGAAAGACACCTTCGTCATCGTCGATAGTCGTTGCGATTTTTTTTTTTTTGCAATCTGATGTCGGGTCATACCGAAATGTCAACGGTCGTCGTTTGGTGTTCTTGACCTGGCGACGGCTCAGGCACTAAGGGTCTCCCATTCAATGCATCGTCCTAGGCCGCATAATTTTAGGTTAAGTGACCGAAACCTGAACAGTTCCGTCCGATGATCTGATCCAATCAAAATGCATGCTCTGGCCGGGTGCCATCCCATATCGCCAATGAGCCTTGTGCCAAATCGTCGTCTCTATCGGAATTTTCATTTCCGGAACGCTTCACTGAGCGCGAAACGCTTTGGCTCCGATCATGCTGTAGCTGTCAGATGTTCCTGGGCTTGGCTAATGGCGCCAACTTTGGTGACCAACGCCCAACTGCTGCGAGGATGCAAGACGGGTTTTAATCCGTGCTTGATGGACGTTGTCCGCAGAAAATGGTAGCATGGTGTTTGCGGTTGTCTCCTACTGCTGCGTCCGATGGCGATCATGGCTGGCTTTCTTTGAGATGCAACAGGCCTTCCATAATGGCGGGCGCCTTTCCTTTTTGCTCTCTTCTCTTGATGCGATCGATGATGGCGCGCTTCTTGACATCAATTGACTTGGAGCCGAGCAGAATATCTTCCCATAGCTGGCCTCTGGTTGACGACTTTGACTGTCCACCATGCTCCCAATCCGACAAGCCGTCGGCCGTAACATCCTTTGGCAAAGATGCCCTCAATTGAGAAGACATTGTCGTTTCTCGTCGTGAAGTCGGCCATGGGCCATGTAAAGGATGGGCCTTGATGGCCGCGGAGTGTATGTATGTCGGGGCTGGGAAGATGTGCACCGTGAATTCCTTCTTGTCGTCCGTCCCCGCAGCGCCGTCCTCGACTCCTTCTTGATGATTCGCGTTGGCAAAGGGGCCGGTGACTGCCGACCCGGTCAGGAACGACTTTACGGAACCGTTGGATCGAGGTGTCGCGAGTTGATACTTGAGCGGGCTCATCTTGGCGAGGTCCTTGACTTTCGATTTGTCGCTGAGAACGGATATGAAGGAAGAGTCGTGGTTCTAGAATCCCATCATGTCAGCCAGAGAGCTTCCTGTGGCATCAACTCCTTGCGAAATGCAAACTTACTTCTAGCTTCTTGAATACCTCAACGTTGGCGAATTTCTGCAGCGAATGCAAGACGGCGCGTCTCTCGGAGAATCTAGTCGGTCTCGGCACGACGGTGACCTGAATCGTCCGCGCAGAGGCCTTTTCGGAGAGGCTCTGCAGAACAGAGTATCCGTTCTTAGACATGGTGCTGATTGTACCGTGGACGCGACTCCGTTGACTATGCCGTGTTGAACGGGGAGCGCAATTCGACACGGGAGCTCCGCAAAGTTATCAAGCTCTGGTGGAGCTTTAACAGTGCTGAAACCCAACAACCAGCAATTGCGCACGGTACATCGCGCCGGGGTGCCCCGCCAAATGGCGGGGAGGCAACGTTCTGCTACTAGAACTTCTAGAACAGCTTGGAAGACATAGACGTACGCCTCCCGTCCAAACACCTATCCTCTGCAACTCCCGACTAAATATTCACAGCATCCTACGATTTCCTACGAGCCGAGCGTGCGAAAAATAACCCGACGGCTTCTCAACAAGAAGACGAAATATACTACATTCAACAACCACACTCTCAACCGCGACCATGGCCGCCATCATCGACGCCGACGACGTGATGGAGCCTACCCTCCAGTCCATCCTCGACCAAAAATCGCTGCGCTGGATCTTTGTCGGAGGCAAGGGTGGTGTAGGAAAGACAACCACCTCGTGCTCCCTCGCCATCCAGCTCGCCAAGGCTCGCAAGTCGGTCCTCCTCATCTCCACCGACCCGGCGCACAACCTGTCCGACGCCTTCAACCAGAAGTTCGGCAAGGAAGCCCGCCTCATTGAGGGCTTCACCAACCTCAGCGCCATGGAGATCGACCCCAACGGTAGCATGCAGGACCTGCTCGCAGGCCAGAACGAGGAGGTGGATGCCATGAGCGGTGGCCTTGGTGGAATGATGCAGGATCTGGCTTTTGCTGTAAGCTTTACCTCTTTTGCGCTCTTCATTGCGATCAGCAGCTCTGCAGCAGCTTGTTTGCTAACGTAGTTTATCCCAACAGATCCCTGGTATCGATGAAGCCATGTCCTTTGCCGAAGTCCTCAAGCAAGTAAAGTCCATGTCCTACGAAACAATCATCTTCGACACCGCCCCGACAGGCCACACCCTCCGCTTCCTCTCCTTCCCCAGCGTCCTCGAAAAGGCTCTCGCAAAGGTCTCCCAGCTTAGCTCGCAGTACGGCCCCTTGCTCAACGGCTTCCTCGGCCAGGGTGGCCAGCTGCCCAACGGCCAGAACCTCAACGAGATGATGGAGAAGCTCGAGACGCTGCGCGAGACGATCTCCGAGGTCAACACTCAGTTCAAGGACGAGAACCTGACGACTTTCGTCTGCGTCTGCATCCCCGAGTTCCTGTCTCTCTACGAGACGGAGCGCATGATCCAGGAGCTTGCCAACTACGGCATCGACACCCACAGCATCGTCGTCAACCAGCTGCTCTTCCCCAAGAAGGGCAGCAACTGCGACCAGTGCACGGCCCGTCGCAGGATGCAGAAGAAGTACCTCAGCGAGATTGAGGAGCTGTATGACGAGTTCAACGTCGTCAAAATGCCGTTGCTGGTTGAGGAGGTCCGTGGCAAGGAGAAGCTGGAAAAGTTCAGCGAGATGCTGACCACGCCTTACTCACCGCCCGAGATGGATGCTTGAGATATGGGTTTGCTAGTGGTTTGGCAAAGGTGACGATTTGCTGGTGTTGAGAGGATTAAAACACGACTATGAATATTTGGTTTACGACTGGATGGGTAGCATGAGGCGTAAGAGTCACGAGTGGAGATATAGAATACATTCACAAACGATTGATACCCTGGTGGTGTGTGCAGGAGACTTTATTTGACTACCTCAATGCGTGATATCAGAGTACCCTCAAGACTGAGCACCTCTGGCATAGCTTCATTATCCCAAATATCCCCTGCCCTATTGATCTGCCATCTGGCAGCGACAGTAATGTCCGATTGATTCCCTTCCTATCCGAGGCACAATAAAAAGTCCGCCAGTCCCCGTCCCGAACGCCCTTCCGACCATGAAAAAGCCTTGTCCAAATTCCTCTTGGCTGTGTGAGGATAGTGTTATGCCGTGTTTTTCCAGAATGATAATGATGAATGACCCCATGATGCAATGCGGCGTGTCGTCTAGTTTTACAATCGAAGAAGTCGTGGATGGCCATCGTAGAAACCGTCGATTGAAGTGTCGCTCACAGTTCTCTGTAGTCGCTGGGGCGGACACGCTTCTGTCGGTTCTGGTGGCGATGAGGGTTTACCGGTCTTCTGAAGTACGCGTCCTCATCATTGCTCGGCTGTGTGAAGTTATGGCGCTGCTGCTGATTATAGCCGCCCATGCCGCCTCCGTTCATGCCGCCGTTCATACCGCCGTTCATACCGCCGTTCATACCATTCATCTGGTTCATGCCGTTCATGTTGCCGCCGCCAAAATTATTGTTGCCGTACATGTTGTTGTTGCCACCCATATCAGGGAAGCCGCCGCCGTTCATAGGATTGAAGCCAGGCATACCCATCATAGGGTTCATCATGCCCATCATTGGCATTCCCATGTTCATGTTGCCCATGTTGCCCATGTTTGGCATATTGGGCATGTTTGGCATTCCCATGAAACCATTCATCATGTTCATGCCACCGAAACCCATCATCGGGTTCATAGGCATGTTGCCCATGCCGTTCATGCCGTTCATCATCGCCTGCTGTTGCTCTTGTTGTTTCTGCATCGCCTTGGGAGCCTTTGGGATCTTGGGATTCTCCATCAACTCATCAGCGGGACGCTTCTTGGAGTTGGACTCGACGGACGACGCACGCTCAGCGGCGGGTCCTGACGGAGCGGTGGCGGGAGTTGCTGATGCTGACTTTGGCGTGCCATCGGCCTTCGGGCCTGATGGTGCTGAAGCAGGAGCCACTGCCGTGGCCGTAGGCGACTTCTGTGATGTGGGCGACTTTGTGTTTCCGTTGGCTGACTCTATTTTTGTCTCTGCGCTATCCTTGGGCGACGAGGCCGGCGGCGGCGAGACTGCTGTCGGGCTTTTCGCTTCGTTCTTCTCCTTGAGGAATTCCTTGATCTTGTCTGCAGCTTCCTCATCGGCCTTTAGGTCGTCAATCAAGACACCTTCCGTAGAGCAGTTGGGGCAGACGAAGTCCGATTCGATGAGAGCATTGGTTATGCAATCATTGCAATACGTCTTCTGGCAGCACGGGGTCTTCATTGGGTCTATGAACATCTTCTTGTCGATAGGGCACTCGAGTCCCTGCTCCTGCAACTCCTTGTCTCCCATAGCAATTGCCTTGGCAGCGGACGCTGAAGACTTGGCCTTAGCCTGGAACTGTTCCCATGAAGCCTTGTCAGGCTCAGCGATCACGAATTCTCCCTCAGCGTTGACCATAATGCCCGACGGTCTCTTGGTTTCGTCATCACCACTCTGTGCAAGGGCAACCGACTTATCGACTGTGCGTAGGAACGACCGCGGGATGCCGGTCGTGCGCTTCACACGTGGACGATTGTCAAACTCTGGATCATCGTTTGTTGGGCATAACTGAATCCAGTGACCCTTCTCTCCGCAACGGTAGCAAATGTAACCATTGGGAGGATCATGATCAGGCACGTTTGCAGGTTTCTTGGAGCCTGGCTTGAAAACAGGGGTTTGGCTGCGACTCTGTTAGAGTTGATCTGTTACTAGGAGTGGTGGGTGAACTTACTTTGACATTTCCTCCTGTTGGGCTGACCAGGACTCGGTTTGAGCCTGGAACATGGCTGCCATCTTCTCTTCTTCTGTCATAGCGTTGTTCATTTGGCTGATGGCGTTGGATGCGGCCTTGGCCGTGGCTAACTTAGTCGTTTGTTCCTTGCGGGAGGAATTCTTCGCAGCAACGGGCATCTTGCCAGAGACATATCGGGCGCCTCGGCCTGCGCCGGGCTTGGCGGCTGGAAGGCGACGGGCAACTACAGTCGTAGATCGAGGGATAATTGTCGTATCATCGTCGTACTCTAGATGGCTGTTAGATCGATAATCATGGGAGCGTTTTTCAGTATCAAATTTACCTTCACTGCCATCCTCTGAGTAGATGGCGAGGTCGAAGTCGGTGCCATCGCCTAAGCCGCTCTTTAGGATGATGTCGCGCTTCAGCTCGAAGACAGAGATGCCAGTGCCATCGAACTCAACTCGCGTCGGCTCCTTTTGAGACTTGAACTTGAAAAATACGGAGGACGCCATGATGTCTCGTTTGGTAAGGTCACAGGTGTAGACCGCTATAGACGTTTGCAGCAGTAAAGCGCGCAGTCAAGTATTGAATTGGAGTGACGGTGAAGACTTCGCGGGATACCACGAAGACGCAACGCTACCTCAACGTGAGTAGAGAGAGACTTGATGCTTGTAATTTTTCTTCTTGCTTGTGTGTGATGTCTCTTGCGCTTAGCACCTCTCAAGAGTAATGGAAATCAATTCTGATTTACTTGGAAGATCAAGGAAATAAGGGTTGCGGAGTGTAGAGAAAGAGTACAATGCCAAAAAGGCCGACACCAGTTGAAGAAAAGTCAGTCCTTTTGTGTGAATCCCTCCTTACTTCCAAATCACCTCGACACCTTGCACACCATCAATCGAGGAACCTCAGTTAGCCAGCGTAGGTTTCCAAATCAGTATTCCGCTCGATAGGTAAGCGGTCGCGACGGTCCCGTGGCGAGACAGCAAACAATCGTCCAGGGAAAGAGTCGGTTGCTGAGCGGGCACTTGCTTCGCTGGTCACCTGGGGTCGAAGAATCGCTTGGGCGATTGTCGTGAGATGATAAAATTCGTCGCAAAGTCGTATGCAGCACACGGTATTTGCGGCAAAGCGAAAAGTCGCGGTCGCGGGTCGAAAAGGGAGCGTTGATGGTGATGTTCGTGGCAGGAAAAAGAGGAGTAACGCAAAGGGGGAGGAGAAGTGATATAGCCGGCAGTGACTGCAGGCAGAAGGTAGTAGCTGGAACCCACTCTGGCCACTGCGACCGACCCGACCTGATTCTGCAGCACTGCCAATTCTGGGCAAGCCCGGGCCAGGTGGCACGTGAGTGTCGGATTTTCCGGCCAAGGGTTTCTCCGAATCCTCGGGCTCCACTACCTACCTACCTTAGGTATGTCTGGGCCTTCCAGGTTCCTGTCAGCGGGTTCTAAAGTGGTCCCCATATTTGTTTCGGAAGGTGCCGTTTGCTGCTGAGTAATCCGCCCAAGAATCTTGACTCTTCCGTTTAGGTCCCGTCCGGGCCTCCACTATCTCGGCCGGGTAGTTGCCGAATCAGGTCACGTGCCGTATCACGCAAAAGTTCTTTGGTCTCGGTCTTAGCGCCTCCACCTGGAACGGATACATTAGCAAAGGTCAGGTCCCTTCCTGCTGATACGCCGCTGCTTGCCGAAGCGCATTGAAAGAACCCCGCCATCCGGAGCAGTTGTGGGCAGGTGCATGTAGCGGTACTCTCGGTGCAGCAGAATTCTGGTCAGCTCTATTGCGCCCGATGTAGAAGGTCCAGTCCGGCGTCATGCCCCGCACCTCGTTGTTTAGAGGCCTTGCCCTCCCTCAGACTGCTCGAAAGTTTGTTCCTACAACTCTCAAACCTCTCCCGTGTTGGCAAACCATCTCACAATCTCGCCGTCACTACCTTACTCCAGCTATCAAAGCACACCAAGCTCGAAAAACCAAGATGGCTCCTCAACTCGACGGCTACTTCAAGCAGGTCGATGCCGACACCGACCACTTCATCGAACGTCTCCGGAAGGCTGTTGCGATCCCCTCCATCTCAGCTGATGTTGAGCGCCGTCCCGATGTAGTCAAGATGGGCGAGTGGCTCGCTGCTGAGCTGAAGGGCCTCGGTGCCTCTGTCGAGCTTCGAGAGCTCGGCGAGCAGCCTGACATCCCTGGCTTGCAGCTGCCCCCCGTTGTATTGGGAAGATATGGAAGCGACAAGAACAAGAGAACTATCCTGGTCTACGGCCACTACGATGTTCAGCCTGCTGAGAAGACTGATGGCTGGGCGACCGAGCCTTTCGAGCTCTCCGTCGATAATAAGGGCAGAATGTTCGGCCGTGGTTCCACAGACGACAAGGGACCCGTCCTCGGCTGGTTGAACGCCATTGAAGCTCACCAAAAGGCCAACATCGACTTCCCCGTCAACCTCCTCATGTGCTTTGAGGGTATGGAGGAGTACGGGTCCGAGGGTCTCGACGACCTTATCAACGCCGAGGCCAAGAAATTCTTCGCTGACGCCGACGCTGTTTGCATTTCCGACAACTACTGGCTCGGAACCGAGAAGCCCTGCTTGACCTACGGTCTCCGTGGCTGCAACTACTACTCTGTCGAGATCAAGGGCCCTGGCGCTGACCTGCACAGCGGTGTTTTTGGCGGCACTGCCCAAGAGCCCATGACTGACTTGGTCCGCGTTCTCGGCTCTTTGGTCGACACCGACGGCAAGATCCAGATTCCTGGCATCATGGAGCAGGTTGCTCCTGTCACCAAGGAGGAGGAGACTCTATACGATGGCATTGCCTTCACCATGGAAACTCTTCACGAGTCTCTGGGCAGCACGACCACCATCTACGAAGATAAAAAGTCCACCCTCATGGGAAGATGGCGCTACCCCTCCCTCTCTGTACACGGTGTCGAGGGTGCCTTCTCTGCCCCTGGTGCGAAGACTGTCATCCCGGCCAAGGTCACTGGCAAGTTCTCTATCCGTACCGTGCCCAATATGGAGGAGGAGGCAACCAACGAGGCTGTCTACAAGTACATCAACGAGCAATTTGCGAAGCTCAAGAGCAAGAACTCCATGAAGGTTTGGGCTCAGCACACCGGCAAGTGGTGGGTTGCGTCGCCCAAGCACTGGAACTTCTCGGCTGCCGCCAAGGCCACCGAGCGCGTCTGGGGCGTACAGCCTGACTTCACTCGTGAGGGTGGAAGGTATGAATCCCACCTCTTAATATCGAAGGATGTTTACTGACAATATACGTAGTATCCCTGTCACCCTGACCTTCGAGCAGGCCACCGGCAAGAACGTTCTTCTTCTGCCCATGGGTAGCTCCACCGACGGTGCTCACTCCATCAACGAGAAGCTGGACAAGCGCAACTACATCGAGGGCATCAAGCTCCTTGGTGCTTACCTGCACTACGTCGCTGAGGAGCCCACCGCATAATTGGACTGTGGATTTGGTGAGGTCGCTATGTCAGAGGGCAGCTAGGAACCGCGCTACCTACGAAAGCATGCAGTCAGGTGCCCCGCCTTGCTGTGTAGCCACGGCGAGTCAAGCTCGGCTTACAGGCCGGCTGCTGATGGCATATCATACATGCTGAGAGCGCTGCAATTGGCTGTTAGCCAGATGGAGATTCATAGCACAAAATGCTCATGGTTTTCGCTGCAGGATTCAGATCACAATTCACGTAATTCAAATACCCAAACATATTCATATTAAACCGTGCTCAGTTCGTCGTTTCTACATGTGGGGTATTAGTGCGTAAAGGGTCAAGTCATGATCGTTCGTCGAATCGTGTGCCGGCAGAACCAGGTATCCAAGCAAGAACGCCGGTGAGAGGACAAAGCCTACGTGGCTCGGGATATCTCGTGCGTGTAGGTGGTAGGAGAAAGGGTAGGGGTATCGGGAGCTTCCAACAGAAGCTCTACTTCTTCCGCGCCGTTGTCACTCGACGGCTCCGTCTCTTCGCCACAATATCTGGGTCCCAGTTTCCAGAGAACATATCCTCAAGGTCGTCCTCGTCTTCAGAATCAAATACAACTTCCACCTCGCTGTCCGACGTATCCTTGCGAGCGCTCTCGGCACCGTCATCGCCGCTACTATCGTCGTCTCTACTGCCTGCTCCGCCAGCTCCGCCAGTAGCCTCCCTCTCCTCCGCGGATTCCTCGTCCTCTGATACGTCGTCGTCTTCGTCATCATAGTCCTCCTCGTCCCGGACGTCAACGTCCTCCCAACTGCGAAAGGGCACCACGCGTTCGACTTCGAGGATAAACTTGCCAACCTTGTACTTTTGGCTGAGCTCCTTGGCGTCGACGTATTTCCATCCGAGTTTCGCGTTGCAGAGGACGCAGGTGATATCCGCGACGACGTGCCACCCGGTAACGAGCTGGCGGTTTTCGCATTTTCCTATGCGGACATTGGCGAGGCTTCCCTTGTTTTTGCTGCTGTTGCCTTGGGTTAAGGAAGTGTTGTAGGCGGTGACGACGGTCGGCGCGATGAGGTAGGCGCGGCCGTAGCGGCCTGTGAAGCCTTTGCTTACGATTTGGGAGGAGAAGGCGATGTCGCAGGAGCAGGTTGAACAGCGGAGGGTGTCTGGTTGGGTTCGTGCCAGGTAGGAGGAGCGGGTTGGTTTGTTCTTTTTGGCGGCGGTGGTGACGGTTGATGAGGATTTGGAGAGGAGGTCTGGGATGCTGGCTGCGGTCGTGATGGCATCTTGGTATGTTGGCGGCGGCGGGCTGTTCGGCGGCGTCACGGTCTCGTCTGTCGTTGAGGAAGTCGGGGAGGAGCTTAGGGAGGGGACCTGGCTTGCGTCTGGGGTCGAGTCCGGGGACGTCGAAGTCGAAGTTGAAGTCGAAGGTGCTGCTGCTGCTGGTGCTGCTGCGGACGAGGTCCGGCGGCGGAAGGGAATGATGTTGAAGCTTGGGAGGAGGTAGGTTGGGAACGTGGGACGGGAGACGATGATGTTGGGCGCCATCGCGAGACGCGGATTTGGAGTATTGGAGGTAGGTTTTGCGCCTCGCTCCGGGACCCCGATGCGAGGAAGGTGGCGGCGATGATTACTTGTTTTTCTTTGTTTCGCTGGGTGGACTACGGCTTGTTGGAGTTGTAGACGAGGGCGGCGTCGGTGGTGGAGGGTTCTACCATGGTATTCCGGCGAGGGTTCCGGTGGATGGACGGATGGTTTTTTCTGAATGTTCAGAGCGAGGAAATCATGACTTGCTTGGGACAAGGACGATGATACGGTTTCTTTGGAGTTTCTTTTCTTTTCTTTTCTGTATTTGGTTTCGTTCACGTTTTTGATCCTTTGCGACTGGAAGGTCCCGGGGAGGTCATGTAATCATGTATAGACAGGTATGGTAGGTAGGAATGAAGGGTCGGAGGCGGTTTTGGGGTAGGTAAGGTAAGGCAGGTAGATCAGAGGCGTATGGGCGCAAGGCCGACAGGGAGGGGAAAGGTGAGTGACTGACTTATGGCACGAGACAGTGAGATGGGGGGGTAGAGGATTTGGGCTGGACTTTTTTGGTCGGGCCATCGTCTAAAGGGTGTGTAACGTGCAGTTTGCGAGCGAGTGAATGATTCGAGTGTTGGAGGGTAAGATAACGCGAGGCAAGGCACCGTTCCGGCAAGCAGCATGTCACTGTCACTGTCACCGGTGGAACCCGCCTGTCTTGCGGTGAGTGGACGATGGGGACGGGGTTTGGAGTGCGAGATATCAAGACGGTCTGGGGGGAACGTCGACATGTACATATTGATAAGTAGGTATCCGGACGTATTTGGGGCTTTGTTTTCCTGCCCGGACTTGGGATGGAAAGAGAGAAAACCACTAGAGAGGGGTTTGATATCCTGCAGATGCTCGACACCTGACTCGGAATGGATATAAAGGCTGAAGAGGGCTGTAAATATTTCTCCTTCCACACATCTGTATCGTAAAGTGAGACGTTTGGAAAAGAAACTACCTATCATACTTACCAACCCACCTCTCCGGGAACATCTACGTAGCGAGCGGCCAGTATCGGAGTGGCGACCGGCGGAAGTAGGTACGGTGATCAACCTACATGAGGGACCTCTCGGCGGTGGTGTAAGATCAAGTCACTCGGTCGAAGGAGGCTCGAGCTTCCCCACCTGGCTCTATCGCTAATGCAGCCCAAGGTTATCGATAAGGTAAGCAGGTGGAAGCGTGAGCCGATAAGACCAAGAGACGTCGGCTGGGTGGAGTCTTCCCAAGTGGTGAGAATGAGATTCCATTTGGCGCCGGCAGTGTGTGTGTCACTGGACTTTGGACTCCACCGCTGGGTGAGTGTGGATGATCACCTCATTCGCCCTCCATCAGATGTGACCCCCTCTTCCTCCAACGGTTGTGCGGCAGAGAGTTCGAGGGGTCCCACACCTTTGCTGCCATCGTTGGATACTGGTCACCCTACGGATGGAGAGGCTTCCAGAAAAAGCGAGAAACCAAGAGGTATGTTTCGAGTTACAGAGGTTGTTGTTGGCTTTGCGGGGATCGAAGCTGTAAAAGTCAGGTATCTTGCAGCAGCATCCAAGATGAATCTTTGCAATCGTTATCTGTGGACCAAAAACGCCTCGCAGCTTTCGCTCGGTTTCGGTGAGGGCGCGGTGGGGCTTTGGGTGAGAGTCAGATGGTCCGTCGGGTTGCTAGCTGCTTACCGGAGACCGGCGCCGATTTAGATGCAACATCTCTGGCCTTTTGGCTGCACCCAGAGTGTTGTAGTTGCTTGAATGTTAAGTAGGTAGGTAAGTAGGTAGACGCTTGGTTACTGTTCTTACGAAACGATTATCTCAAGTCCGACCGAATGCTCTGAGGAACCAAGAGAAGTTGATCATCGTTATTCATAACGCATTGTGTCCTTTCAATCTTCCGAGAAGGGGGAAGCTGCGATGGATGACTCGCAAATCACGAATGTGGGGGACAAAACGGTCAAGTGACCCGAACGGAAACACGGACCCCAGAAAGCCCAGCATGCTAGTTGCGGCGCTGCATGGCAATCTTTGGTAGGCATTGACAAGGCATCCTCCAATATTGTCCACGGCAATGTGTGAATATAAACCATCCACCGTAAGACCATGTGCTCCGGTGGCCTGCTCACCCGTCACGATTACGATGGCCGAGAAAACGCGGCCTCCGATCATGCCGGGGCTCCAGCTGGAGGGGGATCCACCCGGCCAAAGAGGCTGCGACAACTTACGCCATCATCATATGGAATGTTTTGACTATCCGCGGCGGACGTCTGGAATACATTACTTTGTAGAGACGGAGCTCAGCCAAAGTTTCGAGATTGGGGATGGATAGGCTGACCTACCGCAAACCCTAATTGTCCTGGTGATTGAGGACCCCTCCGTATCCCAGCGGTTATCTGTCACTCGTGTATGCGACGATCCACGGCCGTGTGCTTGAACTGCTTGCGTAACATTACCTCACTTTCGTAAGTTGTTGATCCAAAAAGAGGACCGGATATCAGGCCACCGCTGTTCCGTACACATGTCAAGGTTGATCGTCCTTGTGGAATCCCTTCATGAAAAAAGCACTGTGATACCGTTTCCGTCCAAGAGATAGTCAATACCCCAAGTTCTGGGTCGGGCTAGGGTGGCTGGGCAGCATGGGCTCGGTTTGGGGGGATTGTCCACGTGCATGTGAAGTGCAGCCCACGGCCTCATTCGATTGGCAGAGGCCGCAGGAGAAGCAGTCAAAGTGCCAAGCGCCGTGCCGGGCCCGGATTGGGAGCGTCCACCCGAGTTGGTTGATTGTTAGCGAGACTAATGAATGGTGACAGTCGATTCGGGGCAGCTCTGACTGGTCTGTAGATTGTCGAGACATGCTTAGATGCGTAGAGTTATTGGGGTCTAAAGACGGAGGGATGCAACTGCTTCAAGTCAGTCAATGAATCAATACCCAATGCGCAGATCGTGGGCCATGAACGGCCAGGGAAAGTAGCAGCAGCAGCAGCCAATGCAATGCAGCCCAAGAAACAACGAGCTTTGCTTCCCATACCGCCTCATACAGTGCAACATGGACGGATGGCGCATTGCAAAGGGCTCCAGCCGGTTTCGTAAGCCTAGACCAGTAGCCCCCCTATGGACCGTGGACCATGGACGCCCCCTGCCAACGGGAACAATGTACAAACTGGAACCCTCTGGAACTTGTGGAAGAGACAGCTGATGCCGATGATGATCGTGGCGAGCAAGCAAACAGATCATGGAGTACCAATGTGCTGTGACGAAAGTAAAGGGTCCCTGAGGATTGCGATTGAGTAAGATCTAAGCAATCCAAAGCCTGAATTGACGTGGACGGGATCAATGGCATTGACTGCATTGGATGGGGAGGAGAAGACATGGATGGTGGATGAAGGGATCCGAGGATAGAAGGGGGAAAGGTGGAGATGCCATGGCTGATTATGACTGTTCCTTCCCACCTTCCCTGGGTATCCGTATGTACCTTACACAGTAAGTTTCCCACTGGACCGGTGGGCTTGGCGCTTTTTTTTTGTTGCTTTTTTTGGTGGCTGTCACCCCTTGAGACTGCCATTGCGGCCCATTGGAAAGGAAAGTGCTGGGCTGGCACAGCACGGCTGGGTGGTGGTTGCTGCGTGCTGCACAGTGGTCCCCTTGTGCCTTGGGTTGCTTTCTCCGCCCACGCTAGACGTTTCCACCCTTTATTTTTTTTCCTTGCAGAAAGATATGGGCTTTCCGCTGGGTTTTTATTCACCACTCTGCCCGCTCTGAACGCCATCTTCCTCACTTCCCTCTTCCTATCTTCCCCATCGCAACGCTTCACCGCCGATATCCAGTTCACCTCACCCGCAACAACCGCCGTTCAAAAAAAAAAAAAAAGCCACCCAAGGGCAAAACATCAACGCAAATCCTCCATCCACGCTACTACATCAATTGATCGACACAAATCGAACAGCCTCATCCGCTGAACCAAGAAAACCCACACCACCTTTTCGAAAAGAACACTACCATCGTCGCTACTTGACTCTCGCCTCACTTTTCAACCACCAATCACCAATTCATCGACGAACCGGTTCCGATATCCCGAGAACCGACCTCCCAACCCAGTTCAACCACAACATCAGATCTTTAGCTACCAAACCCCCGAAAAGTAAACGCAATGGCGCCCATGAATCAGGTCAACAATTACAGTAGTAGTAATTATGGTGAGGCCGTTGTCCGTCAGGCCAATGTCCTCGCCAGCTGCTACATCGTCGACTCCGCCGCGACTCTTCGCGGTGTCCACTACTGCACTACCGGCGCCGCAGGTATGTCGCACTCTCCAATTCCGCAGTAGCACAGTCACATGCCTCTCTCTCCTTCCTGCCTCCCCCACGCGCGCCCATCTTCAGCCTCAAACTTGTAGATGAACTGTCGATCATTCTGGGTTGTCCCTGGTGTACTTCTCACCCCCTATCATCCCCGCACACCTGCATCACCCGTTCTCCGGAAACTTGGTAAACTACATGGATCATGGACTGACATATCTTTGAATCAACAGGGGCCGAGTGGTATTCCTGAGGTCCCCTCCTCAGGACTACCATCACCTCCTTCAAGTCCCCCCCTCGCGGCCATAACGGCATCCAACGAGCTCGCTCTGCTTCCCAAGGCCAGCAGCAGCAGCTCCAAGAGGCGCGATACCGTGCCCGGCAAGAGGATTAGCCGCAGAGGGGGGGCAGCACTTTCGATCAGGGAAGAATGTGAAAGGTTCTTTTGTGAGTCCATGAGGGCTGTGTTCCGCGGTGAGACGGACACTGGCTCGCGTGGCTCCGGCCTGCATCAAGGTGCTTATTACTACAACAATGGCAGCAGCAACGCCAACAACATGCTGCCCACTCCGCCGCCAGACGAGGACTTGGCCGTTCAACCACACGTCCCGTTCGGGGGACGCGGCGGGGACGGTGCGGTGGGCTTCACGGCTACCGCCGCACCCGCCCCGGCTACCGCGTGGTTGGAGGTTTGGGACTTTGCCGGCGGCGCGAGTTTCAGGGCCTTTGTGGCGGACGACGGGGCTGAAAAGTCCCTGTTCGCCCTATTTGACAGGAATGTCATTGGACGTGACCTGAAGCCTGCGTATGTTTCACACACCCCCTTTGTCTCAACCCTCATTCCTTGTTGAGACCCTGGCTAACATTCTTTATAGGCTTATGGCGCTGATGGAGTTGGTCGACGGACCGCTCAATTGCGAACACCTGGTCGTCTGTATTGACCGGACTATCGAGGAGGAGGATGCCAAGTCGCTGATGAAGAGCTTGCAGTGGATCGGCTTCGAGCTGACGACGCTGGATCACTGGGCGAGAGACGTGGACGTTACGAGCAACCAATGGCTGTTTATGAGCATGGAGATCTAGCATTACTTACCCCGGACAGCCTTTCATCGTCCGCGCTCTGTCGGGAAGGGGATTTCCCCTCTCTCACTCTTCAGTTCTTTGAGCTTGGCAGTTGGGGAGTTTTTGCTTTTTCAGGCTTCTTCATCTCTCGTCTTTTCTAGTGTTAGCACGGCACCGCGGGGTATCATTTCTGCTTTGAGCAAATGAATTTTGCTTGGGTTACGCACCTTATCAGTCTTCTTCTTCTTCTTCTTCTTCTTCAGCACGCAAACAGCTCGAGCTTGGAACAAAACAGCAGGATACGGAATTTGTGGTGGGAACAAGGAGGAACCGTCAAAAGCATTGAACGAAAAAGGGATTCCAGTCTCGTGTTTTGGGCATCTCTTTCACTCTCGCATCTGTATCTTTACGCTAAAAGCTGAAGGGCTGTTTCTCTTTTTGCCTTTACGGCTAGTATGGTTCATCGCAACTAGCCACAGGGTTTGTTTTTGGGGAGTTTCGACGCAATTGCTTTGTCGAGTTGGTGACAGTGTTCTCTTCTGTCTTCTGCTTTGGATCTTGAAATGTTGGGACTGTTTGATGTTTGGCAGGAATTGCACGCAAAACACAAGTACAACATAGTATGAAAATCATGACATGAGAAAGTTTCTTTAAATGTCTAGTCTATGGCGAATGTGAGCGTCAAGATTGTCGTCACCACAAAGTTCAACTCCAGGCTTTCCCGTAAAATAATCACAATCGGAAAGGGTTCCGAGACTTCCAAGCTGCTCTTTAGTCTCCTTTTCCAAAACGGCTCGTCATCCTTTCTTCCTCGTATTTTGTCCAACACGCACAGGGTGACTAGCAACGGTCGACTTTTTCTTCCTTTCCCCTACTTCAACTGCCGCCCACAAGACGATATGAACACTTTTCAAATGTTTTCCTCAAACTGCCTCACCTTGAGCCCTTTCTCCGCCAAGAAATCTTTGACCTGCTTGACGGTATACTCCCCGCGGTGGAACATGCCCGCGCCCAGCGCAGCATCCGTCGTCGTCTTGGCAAACACCTCTTCAAAGTGCGCCGGCTCGCCGGCACCGCTGGACGCGATGACGGGGATCTTGACGGCGGCCTTCACCTGGGAGATGAGCTCGAGATCGAATCCGCTGTTGGTGCCGTCCTTGTCGATGCAGTTGAGCAGAATCTCGCCGGCGCCCATGGCCTCGACGGCTTGGGATAGTTCGACAACGTCCATGTCGCGCGTCTCGCGGCCGCCCTTGATCGTGCAGGCGTACCAGCAGTATTCCTCGCCCTTGGGACCGGGGCCGGTGGACGTCTTGATGATGTTGTGGCGCGTGGCGTCCGTGTTGGGGACGTATACCCGCTTGGGATCGACGGAGACGACGACGGCTTGGTTACCGTACGCTTTTGAAATTTGCTCAATGGCCGTGTTGCCGAACAACTTGCGGCCCGCGCCGTAGTACTCTTCCGCCGCGAGGACGGCGTCGGAGCCGATGGAGACTTTGTCGGCGCCGGATTTGAAGTACATTGTCGCAATCTCGAGAGCCGAGACTTTGGTCCCGTCCGTGTCGACCGTGTCGCGGATGCCGCCGCCGATGGTGAGCGGGACGAAGACGGTCTCCGAGGTGCGGCGGAGGATCTCGAGCATGGGCACGTCGGCGAGGGGACAGTCGCGGAAGCTGGTGATGTTGAGAAAGGTGACTTCGTCGGCGCCCTGCTCGTAGTAGCGGCGGGCCATCTCGACTGGCTTGCCGAGGTTGCGGACGGCGCCGCCGTCGGACTTTTCGCGGACGTCGTATTGGTCGCCTTTTGTTACGACGAGGTCGCCTTGGTCGTTTGTGCGGACGTCGAGGCAGGCGATTACGCGGCGGGTGAGGCCGTCTTGGAAAGGTACGGCCTCGGCGGGTGAAGGCGTGGTGGTGCTGATGCTGCCGGCGGCGGTAGCGGCGGCTAGGTTTGCGGCGCCGGAGCCGTCGAGGAAGGCGCGGAGGCAGCGCAGGCCGGCGGCGCCGGACTTTTCGGGGTGGAACTGCGTCGCGAAGATGTTACCCCTGGCGAGGGCGCCGACGAAGGTCTCGTTGCCGTAGGTGCCCGTCGCGACGGTCCACCCTTGGGCCTCGAGCTCGCCGCGGACGTAGGGGTATTTGTAGGTGTGGACGTAGTAGTATTTAGACTCGGGCCGGAGGTCGTAGAGGCTCGCACCGCCCGTGTTTGCGCTGTTCCAGCCGATTTGCGGGACGGACTTTGTGGAGGCGTCGAAGCGGTCGAGACTACCCTTTACGACGCCGAGGCCGGGGACGTCGGGGTCCTCGAGGGAGCCTTCGAAGAGGGTCTGGATGCCGACGCAGATGCCCATGAAGGGCTTGCCTGAGGCGATGTGGGCGGAGATGGCGGGGAGGAAGCCAGCTTGGGAGAGTTGGGAGAGGCAGTGGCCGAAGTGGCCGACACCGGGGAGGATCAGTTTCTGGAAGGGAGAAGGTTAGCTACTTGGAGGCTTTCTCTACGGTATGTCGAGGCCAATTGCTTACTTCTGCTGAGGGAACATCTTCGGGTCTCCTAATCCATTCGACTTCGTAGCCGACCTTCTCGATGGCATTCACCAAGCTGCGAACATTGCCCGCGACGTAGTCCAGCAGGTGGACCTTTGGCATGATGGGCAGACTGGAGGATGAAGTGATATAAAGAGTTGGGTATATTGAAAGTCTATAGAGCAGGAAGTAGATCAAAGATTGAGAACGAATGAAATACGCCGTTATAAAGTATCGTCACTCGAGGAGTGATATGTCGGATTGTGAGTCAACAGAGCGGGATGTGTGCAAGTCCGATTGTGAGTCGAAGGCCGTCTTTGGGAAATTTACTTGCGATAGCGGGGCAGAGGGGTTGTGAGCAGGGAAAGTCCAGCAGTTGCCCCGCACCAGCGGCCGGTCCCTGTTCAATTGACCTTTGGCCTGTGCCAATTTGCCGTCGGATTGACTGGGGGTGGGTAAGCTTCTTTCCATTGGAATGGGAACTCTGTAATTATCTTCAACCTCGGAGCTTCAGCAAGTTTTCGACGTCGCGTACCCTTTCCGCGCGCGCGATGAACATTCAACTCAGTCTTCGCATTCCCTGACGTACTTGGTAAGTCGGCGACAACACCACAGAACTGCACAGAATCTCAAACCCAATGCACGATTCCCATCAGTCAAATGGAGTCCCCTGCCAGAAACCACAATGACATGGCGACCGACGCGCCGACGTCTTCAGTCGCACCGGTGAATGCTGCGACCGCGCCCGCCGACGAACCACCGCAAACCTCCAACAAAATTGACGCCGGCGATGACTCGGAGTGGGAGTACGAGTACTCGACCACCGAGACCGAGGTAAACCGTCGCATTGAAGCGAGCAGGAAGATACGTGCTAACCATCCCAGACATACTACCTGACTGTCGACCTTTCCATCCCACAGCTTCTTCGGCGCAAACGGAACATGCCAGTGTCAGGACGAGGCGGATATCACTACAAACACTGGGCAGGCCCGACGACGAGGAAACCAAACGAACCGAAACATCATCGCATCATGTCAGACGACGACCAGAATGACGACGAACCAGCAGACGAGCCCGAGGATGACGAAGAGATGGATCAGGGACAGGCCGATCCAAATACAGACAGCTACGACGCAGATCTTGAATCTGAACAAGCTGCCGAGATCCAGATCTTAGACCTGCATTCCGACAAGCCCATGTTCGCGTATAAGGGCAAGATATTTGAGGGACAATGGACGCGAAATCTCGGTACTGAAGTAATATTCGCCGAACACGAGCACGAGGACCCGATTCCGGCTCTGCGACATCTCCCCGGCGGCGTGGACATGCTCGCGGCCAGCTGGTCGAGGATCAACACGACAGAGAAGCGCCTAGAGCCAAGACACGAAGCGGCAGCGAAGGACGACCCCCTCAAAGACATCAGGAGGAAGCATGGAATTCATATACCCATCACAGCGGATAAGACGGGCGAGCGCAAGCGCCAAACAAGGTTCTTGGAGAATTTAATGGCTCTCAAGGTCAAGAGAGGCGAAAAGGACGAGGTCACGGTGTATGCCCATGCCGCGCCGAAGCCGACGGACATAGGTTCGAATAGCCGGAGGAAAAGACGGAAGCCACTGCCGGATGGACCAACGAAACGTGCAAGCCGGGGCGGCGGCGTCCGCGGGAGAGGTGGCTCTTCCGCATTGGGAACGGGTGGCTCTGAACGAAATGAGCGACAAGGCAGCAGCGTTGCAGAGGCTGCGGCTGCAGCTTCGCGGGATGGGGCGTTGTCAACGCCAACGCCGACGACATGGGCGAACCTACATGGACAAGGCGGAGGCGCGGACAAATGTTCGGGGCCGAAAGATGATGACGAGGCAAGCGACAACGACTATGAAGACGACGAGGAGGATGGCGGAAATATGGAGTAGGTCTTGTCAAGAAAGCATCCCTCAATTGGGATACGAGTCTCATCGGACCATACAAACTTTACGTTCGAAATGGTCTGTCTACCTCGCGATCCGAATCCGGCGTATACTATGGCTTGTTGGAGACGATGGATGAAGATGGCGCCCAGATAGGGCGAAGCCTCGGATGAGACGGTGAAACTATGTGACCGCCGTTGCGAGGCTCTACTGTGGTAGGGCCCCCTCCGGTGCCGGGCTCTCCTGGGCTGGCACATGGAATTGTGGGAGAGACATGCATGGAGGCATGATGCGGTCAGGCTGACGAGAGGTCCCGGGGAGACTCGACGGGAGCCAGAGTCTGGCCCCGGCAGCAGTGCCAGCACGGCTAAACCTAGAGCTGATGAACTATGATCGCCCAAAGGCGCCCTGCGACACCAGCACTGTTTGACGAACTATGGTAAAAGTGTCCGCCTTGTGGGAAGTACATGGGCTGAAAACCCGTTTGACGCTACCTACGGATAGGTACCAGTGCCGGTAGGTAGTCAGCGGGAAAATCGGAGATTAGTTGGGAATACTTCTAGAAAGAAAACTTATCTTACAACTGACGGGGAATATGGGCATACCTGCAAGAAAAGCCTCAGAATGGAGTGTCTCTTACTACTTACATAATAGCTCACGGGTTTCGGCAGATGGTTAGGTAGCCCTGTGTTTTGCAAAGTCATCCCGGCGTGTCACTCGAAAAGCCCACCCGCCCACTGCCAGCTCACATGGGGGAAGCAACTTTACTGAAGGATACACAGCAGTACGACTCGTGATGGACTACAGGGATGGGCTACATGCCGCAG